GTTTGCTTTTTAGATCAGAAACCCAGTAAAGTTGATGCAAAAGGATTTAACAGCTGTGGAGCTTTTGTTTTTTCATTTCTAGTGAAATTAGCCCTTTATCCTTATTAAAAAAAATTCTCCTGATTCTTTGACTTGTATAACAAGAAAAAAGAAAAAAATACGTTAAGATCATCTGAGATCTGAGACTGCATTGCAATATTTCACATGTTTTTTTATTCCAGAAAAGATGTATATGTTCACCTTATAAAAATTATTTGTTTTACTCTATTAGACAATAACTATTGGTATCATCAAAGCAATACTGCATAACCTTTGAACCAAATACTAGCTTGATTTAAGATAAATGCAGTGATGTTTTTCACTATACAGTAGTTGTGGATTAATGCTCCATGAGCTGTTCTTCTCAAAACCTCACCTCGCTGAGCCCATAACTCCCCTTAAATACTAGAGAGATGGCCCTGGAATATATTATTTTTTTGTTCTCTGATGTTCAATTTTTTTTAGAATAGAAAATCCCTTTATTGTCTGACAATGGGGAAATTGTGGGACAATAAACAGATTTTCTATTTAATCTAGAAGGATTAATTCAGTCTCATTGATTCCAAAACACAGAGGGAGAGGTCTGATTTTGTAACTGCACAGCTTTGCCATTGGCATTTTAAGGGTTGCTAAACCTGGAAGTTACAGGTCTAGCACCCCTAAAAGTTAAAAGTTGCACACTGTTGCTTCAAAGGGACCTAGTCTTGTACTATAAGGATGGAGTTCTATGTCAGTACTCACTCTGGTTTAATTAATGTAAATTTGAGATGTAAATTTTACTAATTTTGTTAGTAAATGTAAGTCTTTTATACTCATATTGGCCAGAATATTAACAAACCTGAAGATGAACTTACACAGGATATGCACTTTCCAATGCAATTTCTCATAATAACACAAAAATATTCACTTATGTTTGCATTTAAAATTAAAATTTTCCTTAATGTTCTGATAGGATCTGGGAAGGATTCAACAGAACTTAGTTGCTGTAGATAATTTTATTTAATTAGTATTGGTTGGTTTTAAACCAGGCCACGCTATTGCTTTACCACAAGACATTGCGGGACGGCTGGGATCTTGCATTGTCAATTTCAGATTTCTGTTACTTCTGGCAGATGGTTCCACGTCATTTGTCATCCTACCCTGTGCTGGGATTCTATTTAGGCTCAAACAAGACTATAAAAACACTATCATGACTGAAGCTTCTTGTATTTTAGTAATTTTATCATGTTCAAATGTTTCTTTCTTTTCTTTTTTTGTACAGGCATATTAAGTTATGATGGCTTTTTCAAGTTAATCAGAGCCTTTATGATTTACTTATCAATGAATTGGTTTCTTTAGTATAAATATGGCAATAAACCAATGCCATTTGTGGTTGCTACTCTTCAAGACAAGGCTTTGACTGGCGCCAAATTTATCTCAGCACTGCACACTAGTAGGGCATTAAAAAGATCCAAGCTTGTGGTATGAAAAATTTTGTCAATGCACATTAGAAAATAATAAACATTAGATGACATATTAATTGATTTGATATAATTTATGGGGTTTTTAACAGTGTTCACCAGACTGGTGTGTTTTGCTCTGTGTACCTGAATCCTAAATGCTTCACACCCAACTCAGTAGTCAATTGGTCAGGTCTTCACGGCTGCTTCTTGGATTTTCTGCTCTGACTCTTATTTTATTTTTAGGTAATCGTGTTTTCAGCCACTCCTCTGTTTAGAGAGAAGACATGAATATATGGCAACACAGAATTCAAGCCCCAAAATGCACATGTTCCTAAAACACAGTTTGATAATCCAATCAAGTTTGTTGGTCTTTGTCTAATTGTTGTAACATGTTTCATTACAGTTTCAGTTGTTTCTGATCCAGGCAGGAACATTTTCATTACTTTCCTCTCGGCTGCTTTTTCTAATTTGTTTGTTTTGTTTGGACATGCACCTGATATATAATCAATCAGGATGCTCAATGATGCCTGTTTTTAGATTGTATTATGTTATATATTAGATAAAATGTAGCTTTATTAGCTTTGTTGCATAAATAAGGATACTTGTATTCTGGTAATTTCTGTTGGATGCAAAGCTCCATCACAGAACCTGCTGCATGTTAATATTACGGCGATGTTTTTGCATCAGTTGTTGAATTATCTGTAAACAATATATTTTTAGATGCATTTTACTTTTTACTGAGAGGACTACTGCAGGTTGGACCGCAAAGAAAAACAGAAATAGACATTTGTAAGATTCTTATTGCTGCATCTTTACTGTGCAACTTTGAAGCTTTTGGTCTTAAGTCATTTTGAATGTTTAGAATTTGTCCTAACACTCAGCTGACCCTTCACTGAACCCTTGACTAAGGAAACGCAGAACGCAGGTGTTGCTTATTTTTTGAAGCACCAGGATAAATATCTCCTCAGCTTTAAAATTACCGGTTAAATTGATTACAAAGTATCACATCTTAAGTTTTAAAACCACAAATTGTGCAGATGAGAAATTATCTAGTAAGCCCTTTTATGTGCCCAAACAATAAGCTCCGTTTGAAACCGGATTTTCTTTGTGTTTAAGTGGACTTGGTGCATTGTCTGTGTTTGCTAAGTGTGGTTTGGGTTCATGCCAGCTGGAGGGAGAGCCACTGCAGTGTCCCTTCTTGTTTGCTGTTATGTGTGAATTGAAGAGAGAAGTGCGAAGATGAACCCTGCCGACGTCAACAAACTTCACATAGATCTGTTGGTTATCATTTGTTTACAAAAAAGAAAAAAGTTTAACATGTATTGTTAAACAGTTACAGGTGCTGGTCATAAAATTAGAATATCATGAAAAAGTAGATTGATTTCAGTAATTCCATTTAAAAAGTGAAACTTGTATATTATATCCATACATTACATACAAACTCATATATTTCAGATGTTTATTTTGTTTAATTTTGATGATTACAAATGACAACAAATGAAAATCTCAAATTCATCATATCAGAAAATTAGAATATTACTGAAGACCAATAAAAACAAAGGATTTATAGAAATGTTGGCCAACTGAAAAGTATGAACATGAAAAGTATGAGCATGTACAGCACTCAGTATTTAGTTGGGCCTCCTTTGGCCTGTATTACTGCAGCAATGCGGCGTGGCATGGAGTCGATCAGTCTGTGGCACTGCTCAGGTGTTATGATAGCCCAGGTTGCTCTAATAGTGGCTTTTAGCTCTTCTGAATTGTTGGGTCTGGTGTATTGCATCTTCTTCTTCACAATACCCCATAGATTTTCTATGGGGTTAAGGTCAGGAGAGTTTGCTGGCCAATTAAGAACAGGGATACCATGGTCCTTCAACCAGGTACTGGTAGCTTTGGCACTGTGTGCAGGTGCCAAGTCCTGTTGGAAAATGAAATCTGCATCTCCAAAAAGTTGGTCAGCTGCAGGAAGCATGAAGTGCTCTAAAACTTCCTGGTATGTGGCTGCGTTGACCCTGGACCTCAGAAAACACAATGGACCAACACCAGCAGATGACATGGCACCCCAAACCATCACTGACTGTGGAAACTTTACACTGGACTTCAAGCAACGTGGATGAAGTGCCTCTCTTCTTTTCCTCCAGACTCTGGGACCTTGATTTCCAAAGGAAATGCAAAATTTACTTTCATCAGAGAACATGACTTTGGACCACTCACCAGCAGTCCAGTCCTGTTTCTCTTTAGCCCAGGCAAGACGCTTCTGACGCTGTCTGTGGTTCAAGAGTGGCTTGACACAAGGAATGCGACAGCAGAAACCCATGTCTTTCATACGTCTGTGTGTGGTGGTTCTTGAAGCACTCACTCCAGCTGCAGTCCACTCTTTGTGAATCTCCCCCACATTTTTGAAGGGGTTTTGTTTCACAATCCTCTCCAGGGTGCGGTTATCTCTCTTGCTTGTACACTTTTTTCGACCACATCTTTTCCTTCCCTTCGCCTCTCTATTAATGTGCTTGGACACTGAGCTCTGTGAACAGCCAGCCTCTTTAGCGATGACCTTTTGTGTCTTGCCCTCCTTGTGCAAGGTGTCGATGGTCGTCTTTTGGACAACTGTCAAGTCAGCAGTCTTCCCCATGATTGTGTAGCCTATAGAACTAGACTGAAAGACCATTTAAAGGCTTTTGCAGGTGGTTTGAGTTAATTAGCTGATTAGAGTGTGGCACCAGGGGCCATCAATTTTGAACCTTTTCACAATATTCTAATTTTCTGATATGATGAATTTGAGATTTTCATTTGTTGTCATTTGTAATCATCAAAATTAAACAAAATAAACATCTGAAATATATGAGTTTGTATGTAATGTATGAATATAATATACAAGTTTCACTTTTTAAATGGAATTACTGAAATCAATCTACTTTTTCATGATATTCTAATTTTATGACCAGCACCTGTAGTAAAATAATCAGGGCAGGGGGAGAACAGGCAGTAAGAGGTCGAGGCCAAAGATATGGACTCTTGGAAAAGGAGAGGGTAAAAATGTATCTCTGTGATCCCACTAAGCCTGAATCCGGTTGAGTTTTGTGTGTTTTTCTAATCGTCTGCAAACTAGATTTCTGCCGTTTGTTTAGTAGATAAATAAATCAAATTATTTATTACTCTGAAGACAAAATATTCCGTTCATATTTGGACGGGTGTCTCGATTTGCTCCATTTGTTAGTTGTGCGTGTGTGGTTCTTCCTTACTCTAATAAACTTGGCAGGCGGACTCTGTGTACTTAGACATGCTCCCACACACGGCGAGAGCAGGAGTTCCCAAAAAAAATGAAAACTACCACTAGTACCACGTCACAGGACTTTAATAAAAAATCTCCTTTCATTCCTTATTTTATGGTTAAACTTCAGTGTTTGTTTGTTTTTTAAAGGTCTATTTGGGGGTAATGTTATGCAATCAGTGCAAAATATCATCTGCATGTGGTTCTAACTTGACACGTCATCTCTTTCCAATGTCTGTCTCTGGCTGCAGACTACCTGGCAAAGCACGGCCGTCTCAGCGAGCTGGAGGCCAGGAGAAAATTCTGGCAGATCCTCTCTGCGGTCGAGTACTGTCACAATCGAAACGTCGTCCACAGAGACCTGAAGGCTGAGAACCTGCTGCTGGACGGCCACATGAACATCAAGATTGCAGGTACTTCAAAAGTGCAGTGCGAAGGAGAATCATTAAGAGATTTGTTTTTCATCTCTGATACTCAAAAATGTCTTAGCTACCTGCCAAAGTCATTTGCACTGAGTTGAGAGGCAGTCAGAGGTTTCCTGTGAGATGGGTGGAAGATGCTATGCAAGAAATCAGAAACATGTGCTGCTAAACTGATGATCAGCTTTATTGGATTGCATGAAATGCGCATCATTTAAAGCCACACTTGATCTTAAATGATTAAAATGATAATTTTAAGTTTAATTATTTCAATATCAAAACTGAATCATGTATAGGCTCATTATAACAAGATTATTTCTATTGCTTTTAAAAGGCTTTTAACTGTAAGGAATGCAAACCTTTTCTCAGAGAATTAGCAGTTAACACAAGTGGAACAAGTTGTTAGCTTTCTGAATAATGCGCACATGTGACACTCATTCCTTTTTCCCTCCAATAAACTCTCCATTACAATGTCCTGGATCTAGCACTCTTAATAGCCAAGCTAAGCTGGCTTAGCCATGAACTGTAAAGTCATATTTTACATCCTGATTAGAATGGCTCAATAAATTGCAAATTTAGCATTATCACACCCTCATTATACGCGTAATGTGTATCTTAAACAAACTGAAATGCAATCATTATAGGCGAGTTATTACTGTGCATCCATGCTTTGAACTAATAACTAATAATTGGTAATATGTTGACACTGTTATCTAATGTAGCATAGAAAATATTTTGGACGTTAAAGAGGTAAGCTGCTAAATCCATAAAAAAAATATAATTGACCTTGTTTTATTCATGAAAAGGCCAGTGTCATCCAGTGGGCAGTAGGTCACTTAAACCTTGTTTGGATAGAAAGCTGGTCACAATAACATTATCTGAGACCATTGATTCAAAGCAGCACTATATTAACGCCTTGAAAACCTTTTATCTCAAACCAGAAGCATTCTGCATCATTATCGCCACAAATAAATCATCCTGTGTATAATGAATCATTTAACTCTGATGTTTAATGACTTTTCATTGATGATGGAGGGGATTGGACATGTATAAGCTTTTGCTTCTTCCATCCCCTTTTCAAGCCATGCATGTATTGTTTGTCATTATATGTATTGTAAAATGTGTGCAGGTTTGAAATAAACTTTTTGAAATGAAAATACTCAACTATGGATTGATTAGCAGTGGCATGACTTCAGCTAAGAAAATCTGACTAGCGTATTGGTGCCAATGCAGAAATCTGAGGTGTTGCTTTTATAAATGTGTGTGTTGAAATAAGTGTCAGAGAGTCATAGAGTAACTCTATGTATCTCAGAAATAGAGCTTTTGTTTCTAAATGATTTATGTCCTTAATTTCTGCTGAGTTGTCTTTTTCTCTGTGGAAAAAAACAACTTGGACTAATGACAGAATGAGCTAGAAATCTGTTAAGCTACTGGTCCATCTATAAGTTAGCCTGTCTTCTTTTTTTGTATTCTTTTTGTTTAAAACTACTTTGATTTACCAATGCAAATTTTATTTATGCAATTTTTCTATAATTTTTTTTTAACATTTAATTTTTTTCAGAAAAGCTGTTATTTAGCACATCAGTGATTTTCCAAATATGCCTGACTCACAGCTGATCGTTCCTGTTCAGCAGATTAAATCTGAAGCAGGAAAACAATGAACTGGATATTACCTGACTCATGATTAGGCGAAATGTGTTTAGAACAACAAAAGATGGTACATCCAGTGCTTTAATCACCCTCAGACCTGCTGTTACAGGTCTGGTTGTTCGTTCATACAGCTCACATGTCAGATTTGTGCAGCACGATTCTGGGATGGCTACACATTTTTCTCCTCAGAGTTGCATACCGAAACATACAGAAGCTTAACGATGATTTGTTTTGAGTGGTTAGGCTTTGAATATATAAGATGGATGGATGGGCAAGCAGATGGAAGACTGGATAAATGGATAGATGAGGGTGGACACAGATTCAGAGAATGGATAGACCAGTTTCTTAGGGTTATCCAGACCTTAAGAATAGTTCACCTCCAAATTGCGCTTAAATCCTGACATTATATTACATTCTGGTTTGTAATATTTTATTCTATTACATTTATGAATATTGTATTTGTTTATCATCAGTTCTGAGCTCAGACAAGCAGTTAGAGCTTCTGGGTTTTGTTCCTCAGCCCTGCCAAGCCTTTCTAAAGGCCACCTCTGGTCAGTTTGTATGAACCTTTACTGGTGGTCAGTCAGAGGAAAGGTCACAGGCATGGCAGCTTTAGAGGAGAGCACACTAGAAACAGCAGGGAGTGCCCTTAATGTTTTCACTTCAGACATCCCCTTCTGGGTCCAGTTGACAGATTGAAGGTGGTGGAAAAAGTAAAGAATTTATAAACTAGAAAAGCACAGACTTCCATTAAGCAGCAAATTTTGCCCCATAATGTGACTAACAGCTATAGTTAAAGGTTACAGATGATCTGGATCATTACCAGATTTAAATGAGTTGTTTCTTGGAATGAAACACACCTTTGGTAACAATATCCTTAAAAGCTTTTCATAGGTTTATGAATAAATGCACAGTTTGTGCCTGCAGCCTCTGGTGTTTGTTCTGCTCTGACCTTCATTCACTCTGCTTTCATGTTTGATCAGCAGATCGAGACTTTGTGCGAGGCATGGCTCACCTTTCCTGTGTTTTTGTTATAAGGATAATACCTTTGGAATTTTTGAGTCTGATGCTGAAGCTGTAAATAGTCAGTGTTGCCACACTCTGGATTAGGGGGGAACTGCTTGTTTCGCCAAATAATGTTAGAGTCCTTTAAAAAATTCCTGCATCTGGATTATGATGTGGATAGTCACCAAAATTTTATGGGTTATTCCTTGGACTGAGGTGCACCTTTGGTAACAAGGTCATTAAATCCGTTTATAACTTTTCATTTATGCTGTACAAGGACAGACACAAAGTCGACTAAATACATAACCTCCTTGGCAGAGGTAATGAATAGTAGGAAAAGAAGAAAAGGGTCTGTCTGAATTTCTTATATAGATATCATTAGTCTGGCTTTTTTTAAATCCATTTAACTTGGTAACCTTTAGGATTAATTGATTTCCTCTAGCTTCTCGTATTTGAGTTTCACAGGATAAAGATTAAACCATATAAACAGCCTGTGACAAACCCTCTGCATTAAATCCCATGCATTTGGCTGAATTTAGGTCATCCACACATTGATGTAGCTGACTGCACCTTAAACCATTAAAGTGTTTTCATTTTCAGTGAGGAGATGTGGAAACTACAAACATTCACCAGCATGCATCAATTTTAGTGCTGCAGTAGATAAAAAAAAACAAACAAGTATTTATACTTTTTGTAAAATAAAAAAAAAGGGTAATGGATAATTTAATAATAATAAATTTTTAATTTGTTAATTTAATAAAGTCTAACTTTTGTTGTTGTCTTAATTGAAGGGTAGACAGCTCCCATCTGTATGCTTTATTATAACAGGGCCAAAGTATATTTAGGCATAGGTTGCAGATTTTAAAGTATCTAAACTTTTTCAGTGGAAAAATCAAGTGTATTGATAAGGTTACTTTTTATTGATTAAGTTTAACTGTCCGCAAAGGGCTCCGATGCAGTCTTTGTAAAATTGCATGTCATCAGTCAGGAATCATCTTACCATAATTTATCTCTTAGAGATGTGTCTCTAATACACAAATTTAAAGTTTCCAAAATACGTGTACAAAACATATTATTAATGGGTTAGAGGGTTTATTCTATCTAGAATCTAAATTCTGCAAAATGAAGCAATTTTTTCTAGTTTTGTTTTCCATGATGGGATTCTTGGCTCATCTTTTTTGAGGTCCGAAGGTTTTTATATGGTGACGGGTGCCTATGGATTATAAAGCCTTGCTGCTATAGTAAATTCCCATGTTAGAAATAGCTTGCATTTAATTAAACCTGATAATGTGCATCTGAAGGGTTGTATTGAGGTTTAAATCAGAATTTGCTGGAGTAGTAGGAGACAAAGTGGCTGAAGTTTTAGGTATTTTAACAATGTGAGGAGAAAACAAAGGATGATCCGTTTCTAACATGGTTATCTACCGCACTCCCAACTCCATTTCCACAGTAATTAAATCTGCACCTTCTGTAATCTGCCCTGTAACAGCAGCATGATATCATTCATACAGTGCAAGGTGAACAGTATTTCCAGTGCAACACGTCAGATATTATGCTAATGCTACTGCGCCACCCAAGTCCCCAGATCCAAAACCACCACCCACCCTTCCTGTAGAGCAGACACTGCTATTGGTATCCTGCAGCGAGCCGGAGTGTTTGACGTCAACCCGTCTGCTCAGTATTCGGCTCCATGAAATGGGTCACAGCTCCTGACTATAAACCAGCTGCAGCTCTCCGCTCTGCCTGGATCTTCCTGCTCACCTTTACAGCAGCAGCATCAGACTGTCGGCATGTCACACCACTTCCACTTCCTACTTCATTTTGCACCTGGTGCCACCTGCGTTGTACAAATTAAATGTTATGGCTCTCATCTGCTGTTGGATTTCCGCAGTCTGATAATCTCTCAAATCTGATTTAGAGATGCATTTGTACTTGAACCTCCTGCATCTTTTCTGAGAAAGAAAAGGATTGCTATCAGCCCTTTTCTGTTCGGTTAAAATCAAAAGAGAGAGAGACAAAGAGGCACGAAAAAGAGGCTTTGCATATTTCTTTTAGATCTATAGACAGCCACGTTAGTTTTTAGACGTTAAATCTCAAAAATTGCATCCAACAACACTCCATTTCTAGGCTTTGGGGGTAATTTGGTGTGTTTTGTTGCTGTGGTTGAATGGTCAGTTTGATTTGCTCTACATTGTTTGTTTCATGCCGTCTTGGACTCTGTCACACTGCGTATAGAGCGTGATCCAACACCACTTCCAACCCCATTATGCAAGACAGATTTAGTCTTTTTTTATCTCTTATTTGTTTGTTTTTCAGTGCATTTTTCTATTTGCTTATGTAACTGCTGTAGATTATGGAACTAGGGAGGGGATGGAAGCTAAAGTGCACATGTCTGGTCTGCTGACAGCCTCCATTGATAATGAATTACTAAGCTGGAAGTTTTTCATATTTTCTTTTAACGGGTGATAAATCATAGAATAAAACCAGGGGCTCATTGAAAGTTACAAAAGATTGATTTTATTATTAACGAGAAAAGATTGGTGCTTAGCAGAGATAAGAGGCAAGAGAAGTGAGGTAAAGTCTTTAAAAAGAGATGCAGTTGTCTGTGATCTGGATTGTTTGACTGGATTTTAATGAAAGACAGATGTGACTTCTGAGTGTATTTGTAATATTTCCCTCTGTTCTTTGGAGATAAAAATCAGGTTTAAATCCATTCTGCACACATCCAATGGGAGCCCACATGAGTGACCTAATGTTGGTCTCAAGGGGAGGTTGCCTCATACAGCGGCCTGTTTCCTCAGTGTGCAAGAATGTGGATTTCAAACTGCGTTACGCAAAACCTCCACACAGATACTTGATGTTTAAGCAACTCTGCATGTTGGTTGATGTGATTTTTTGTTTTTTCTTTCATTTCATAGAATATTTATATGTATTGTTTCATTGTTAACCAATTATTTTGTTTTCTTTTTCTATTATTTAAAAAATTTTCACTTCTCACCCCCGTGTAGATTTTGGGTTTGCAAACTTCTTCCAGCCTGGGGAGCCTCTGGCCACATGGTGTGGCAGCCCGCCGTATGCTGCCCCTGAAGTCTTCGAGGGACAGCAGTATGAGGGACCACAGCTGGACATCTGGGTAAGATGACCCATTACCTAACAGAGGACACAGGTTTTGCTTTTTCTCTGTATTATTATGGGAAGATGATAAACTGCTAACTCAGAAAATCAGTTAATATATCCAAAAATTATACTTTGACGAAGGAAATTCTGAAACATTTACTAAAGGTTATAATTCAATCAATTTCCCATTCATCTATTCAGTTTTCCAGCCTGACCTATTATTGACCAGACTTTCCTTCTGTGGTCAGACTCCAGAAAGGAGCCCCTTTAATAACACCCTCTAAAGGGACAGAACCAAACCTAAGACCAACAGAATTACTTCTGTTTACTTTAGGAAGTTGAGTACGGAATAAAGGAGCAAGCAGCTATCAACTCTGGTTATCTGTTTACATGATTTATTCATATGACATGATAAATAGAACCATAACTCTTAGCCTCTTTTTCCTTTTCAAGTAGTTCAGATGATTGACCTTCACATATTAGAAAAGTATCAAGAAAATAGCTGCTCAGCTATAGAGACCATATCTATATCTTTCCTTAGTGATAATAAAATCATTAAAATGGAAATGTGACAAAAAAGGCTGGATGAAGACTTTTTGTCTTCTCTATCATATTTATGCCAACCAGTTAAAAAGAAAGCAGGAAAAGTCTGTTATTTCCTACCATCACAAATGTAAACATGGAGTTTTCTAATAACTGCCTGGACTCTACATCAAATTTGGGCTAAAATCGGATAAACACTCAGAGCTTTTCAGATTCTATGTGACCTGGTATCTGACTGTCCAACTGTGAGAAAGAATTCACTTCAATTTAGTTTATTTATATGGCGTTAATTCACAAGACTTAATCTCGAGGCACTTTATAATTCAACCAGATCATACAGTTGAAGCGTCAGTGGAGAGGAAAAACTCCCTTTTAACAGGAAGAAACCTCCAGCAGAATCAGGCTCACTGTGCGCGGCCATCTGCCGAGGCCGGCTGGGGCTCAAGGAGGCAGAAGAAGAGTACTGTCAACCTGCCACACAGCCAGGCAGATGATCTCCCAGCCAGCTCCCATGTCAGAGGAGGAAGAGAGCACATGTAGCCAGTAACAGTTAGAGAAACAGGACTACACTGAAAAAACAGGCCAATCTCGAACATCTATAAACAAAGGCGTTGATGGCAGCAGGACAGCTGATATTTCTCTCCAGTAGTGAGTCACAGCTAAACAGGAACAAACCAGATGAAGCTACTATGAGGAAAAAGCAAAGAGAAGGTAGCATTAGAGATTGAACTGACAAATTCTGCAGAGTGGGAAAAAGTGACAGATTGAAGCAGAATGATGAAAAAGGGGTCCCTATGTCCTCCATCAGTCTAAGCCTATAGCAGCATAACTATAGAGATAGCTCAGGGTTGGATATGTGTAGACATCATGTAAGACACAGTGGCAAAGTAAAACCCACTTGCTGTGGGGTAAATGCACATGGAAATGACCAGATCTCTGACATTAACATCACACCATTTCTGACAATGGATGATTTTCTTTAAAGGTCATTGCTACAACTTTTTCTTCGGGAAAAAAATATTTTCTAAAAATCCACAGAATGTCAAGAGTTGTGCGGTCTGAAAATATTAATCTTTAATGGGAAAAAAAATCATATATAAATGTTATAAATTCTCACGGGTCCAAAGTATATAAATATTTACTCCTGGTTATGATGTCAACATTGAACCAAAAGGTTTCTGCACCAATAGGAATAGTAGGCCAAAGTTGTGAGGCTGAGTTCAGTGATACAGCTGAGAGATGGCTTCCTGTCAGCATTACATTTATCAGATTCAAGTTTAAAAGAAAAAAAAATGTCAGTCAAGCTTTAAAGCGTTGGAGGGAAAGGGGATCAGAAAGGGTTACCGCTTTTCTTCTAAACAGGAATGTTAAATGCTTGCTAATGCTAACCAAAGGCAACTGGCTGGCAAACTACAGAATGATAGGGACCGAAGACGAGTGCACCAGTCACTGGCAGGGAGGAGTTAAACTTGAAGCTCTTACCTTTAGGTTTAAATGAAAGAAAATACTCACAAAACTTCAGCAAACTGACATTTTGGCTGAAGCAATCTGTTTTTATGGTGTAACATTGGTAACAACTGCTTGGTAGGCAGTGGTGAGGAAAAAACATAAGATTTATATGTAAAAGTTGCCCATTAAGACCCTCTGTTTGATTGGAAGGATCTGTGACGATGTGGTCCTGATATTCTTCCAAATGGCTTCAAAACTTTGCTCAAGTACATGGTGTCATAAACACAATCAGAAAACATAATCAATGGGTTTTCAACATGATCCACACCTGAACCTAGCAGAAAAATCAATCTGGTTGTACCCAAACTCACTGCTTCCATCTTGTTTTGCAGAGTATGGGGGTGGTGCTTTATGTGCTGGTGTGCGGCGCGTTGCCCTTTGATGGGCCCTCTCTGCCTGTGCTTAGACAGAGGGTCCTGGAAGGAAGGTTTCGCATCCCCTACTTCATGACTGAAGGTGAGAGGTGGCAAACCTTGCATTTTGCTGGAGGCTGCATCTAAAACAAGGAAAAGAAAACATGTCTGTAACCAAGTTTGTAAATGCCACAAGAACGTCTCAGTCTTACAGCTGCAACAAGCAGGATGATGTCTAGTTGTGTTCATCTGAAGCGGGGATTCATTTTGGGGCTGTCCGGGGCTTTTCAGAGTTCTGTGTGCGTGCAGGCTGCGCAGTGAGTCAGGCTGTCTGAGCAGCCATGCTGTTAACGGCTCTGCTAGCTCGCTGGCTGCAGATTAAGTCCAGAGCCGGAGCTGTTTATGTAACATGGTGAAGAGCCAGTGAAGCCCTCCAGCAGCTCATAGCAGAGTTTGCACATTGGTTTGAGTCACCCTACCGACCCGCGGGACCTCTTCCTGTCCGTCTGCATTCCCCTGTATTAGATCTGAGACTCAAGTCTTCAATAAGGACTTGTTGTATGTGTTTAGTTTCTTACAAGTCATGCAGAGAATGTAGGAGTGAAAATTTCACCTCCACGGGCCAAAATGAAACTCAAATCCGCCTCCCTTCCCTCAGTCCGACCCCCCCGCTCCCTGAAACAGGGGGGAACAGAGTGTGCTGATTACTTCATCCAGAAACAGTCCATCTTGTTTTCTCTCATCGCTGCCTCTGACTAATGCCACGGTGTGCGGCACAGCCCTGCACCGCGCTGGAAACTCTCAACAGAACACATCATCCCGAGGACTTATCAACCACACAACATGTCTCCTTGCTCTACAGTAACTTTCAGCTCTCAGTTTCACCGATTTGTTTAAATTATTCCCAACATCAGTATTACAGCCTGGAAAAGTCTGGAGTTTAATTGCAGTATTATTTTTTTTCCATTTGAGAAAATATTTGCATTTCAAGGCTTGTATCCGTTTCTCATTATCCAAATGTTATTCCGTTTCCTTCCTTGAATACTTCTTCTTGTCCTTTTACTGTGTGTCCTCCTTACTTCCTCATCCTTCCCTCCATTCTGTTTATCATTCCTTCCTTCCTTCTTTCATTGTAATTTTTTGTTCATGCCTCATTCCTTCCTTCTAACTGGTCAATTTCTCTGTTTTGTCCCTCTTTTCTTCCTTATTTCCTTACTTCCATTTTTCCCTCCATCCTTTTTCTTAACTGCCTTTTCACTCCTAGTGAGCATTACTTCCTTCCCTTCCTCTTGTCCATCTTCCGACCTTTCCTATCGATTAAGTTTTCTGCTCCTTCTTTCCCCTAACTTTCCCATGTGTCCTGTCCTCCCTTCCTTTCCGATACCTTTTTTCAATGAGCTCTGCTGGTTTTCTCTCCCCTCTGTCTGACAGGTTTCCACAGCTCTACCCCACTCAGGCATTAAATTAGATGGGTTTGTGGTTAGGTCATGATGGTGCCGTGTTTTTTCAAAGGAAGACGCGTCGGTCAATCAGCCATGCAGCGGCATGGATTTAAAGTGGCAGCAAGTTTACACAGTTTTAGCGTTGCTGTTCAGTGAAGCAAAAGCTCTGGTATTTACCGTTTCCAGAAGCATGGCTGCAGAAAAAGTGTAGGTTCCCTTTCGGTACAACAAATATAACATTGCAAAATTGTCTTAAAACAGTTTGCAGCTGACAACCTGCAAACAAAATGGAGTTGAAAGTAATATTGAACTGAAGGTCAAACTGTTTATGAGCCGAAGGGGAGGATGAATTTGACTTGGCTGAACTACTGGTGTAGAAAACATGTTGAATGGAGACGTTGGCAGACCAGCAGGTAGATTGAGGAGTTTATCCATCAGGGAGTTCCTGTTGGCACATGGGCCCTTGAGCTTCAAATAAATTATGCTGCTTTTTTTCAAGATCAGAAAATTAATACATTTCATAACAATTGAGTTTTTATTACATTGATTGTCACTTTTGTTAAAAGAAAAAATATAATTCAGTCTCTGATCTAATCTTTTCTTCTTTCATCTACCCGTTTTTGCCACTCACACCCAAATTTCCCCACTGTGGGACAATAACAGCAGTCCTTATCTTATCTAAGAGCTTTAATATAAGAAGGCATAAAAAGAAGAATCATTTTCTGTCCTTCCTTCTATGTCTGGTCAATAATTATTTACCTTAGGAGCAGATGAGACTTTCTGTTTGAGCTGGTGAACATTCACAGTTTGTGTTTAGTGTAGTTAGTCTGCGTTCCCTAGAAAATATAGATCTTGAACCGAACTCTGAGATCTCCAGAAGAAGCATTTCCAAACTGAACATGTTAAATAACAATGTTTGAAACTTTAAAGGGATCAAACTAAGCAGCTTTGCTTCATTACAATCATCCTTCTTACTATCTGCCTCATTAAGCACCAGTCCTGTTTCAACTTCTTTAACAAATTATATTTTTATTGTGAATAACATGTTTCACATCACTGTTCTTTCCCCTTTGTAGTTTTTGATTCACTAAAATGCACTCCCAATCAAACTTTTTTTTTTCCTCTGCTTTGCTTTTGTTTTTCCTTCTTTTCTCTTTATTGCCTCTAAATACATCTGACATTTTAAACTGGACTTTAAATTGTGTGCCTCTTAAAAAAAGTTGGAAGATGGAAAAAAAGGTATTAAAGTTAACAAACTTTGTTTTGAATCAAATATTACTCTCTGAAGTAAAATCCTCGTAAACCTCATAGCTATATTTTGAAGTGAAGCTGATTTAATTGATCCAGATGCGTATGTTGTGATACAATCAGAAACCGTAAATCAGACTTGAACTTCAGCTTTGTGGTCTTTCTTGAACGGATTATTAATTTTTTTTTACAATAATTACTAAGGTAACAGTTTCATATGTTTGTGTTAAAAGATATAAAGATGAATGGTTTTCCATTAGGTGCACAACAGCTGTTCATTAAAAAAAATCTGTCTTGTTTTCAGTAAAAATTCAAAATTTCAGAAAATTCAAAATGTTATGAATTAGGTTGTGTAGCTAAAGAATTATTGCAGGGATTTCAGTTAATTTTCCCCCGGTTATGGTTAAAGAAAACAATGGTTGAGTAAACGCTGAGCGACAGGTGGGAATGCAGGACGCAGCCAGGGGAACTGTAATCCTGTTAACAAACCAGCTGTGTCTGACGTCAAACTCATCAAGCCACTAACTAGAGGTGAAGAGCTCTCATTAGGAGGGAAGGAAACAGGGAAATGTTGGGAGCAAAGAAAGACTACATCAGATTATTCAGATCTTAAGTTTTTGGTGTTACTTTGTGGTGTTTATTTCTATTAATCATGGTTTGTACTGTAGAACTAATCTGACTTTTTTATTTGATACCACAGTAGAAAGCAACTTTCTTACTTCTCCATCCTCCCCTTTTAGACTGTGAACACCTGATCCGCAGGATGCTGGTACTGGACCCATCCAAACGTTTGTCTGTGGCCCAGATCAAGGAGCACAAATGGATGACTCTGGATGTCCCCGTCCAGAGGCCTGTTCTGTACCAGCAGCCTCTGTCGGCAGAGGGGGAGGCGGGTGTAGGAGAGTACAGCGAGCAGGTCCTCCGCCTCATGCACAGCCTCGGCATCGACCAGCATAAGACCATAGAGGTAAGGACCAGGCTACGCTATAGTCACATTCAATCCAACAAGGTCATATCTGTAAAGAGGTAAACTATAGTTTGTTGTTCATCATATAATATGGTGATTTTTTTTGGAGCCAAGTTGTATGTTAAACTCTTTGCTTTACTGTAGGTAATTTTTTGTTAATAAACCCTAAAATGTCTAATAGTTATTTGCAAAATGGGACACTTAGATAAAACATGAAATCTTTTCTATATGTATATATCATTTATTTAGAGCAGTGGTCTCCAACCCTGGTCCTCAATATCTACTGTCCTACAGATTTTAGATGCATCCCTGCTTTAACACAGCTGAATCAAATGAATGGCTTGAAAAGGTAATCAATCATTTGATTCAACTGTGTTGAAGCAGGGATGCATCTAAAATCTGTAGGACAGTAGATCTTGAGGACCAGGGTTGGAGACCACTGATTTAGAGGTTTGAATTTATGTAACACAAATTTATATGCAACACAAAAACCTCCAGTGAGGGTCCAGTATGCAGACACAGCTGCTGTAATTTCTGCACTACTGTAGATTTAATAAGGACAAATCAAAAAATGATAAAGGTGATGAATTAAAATAAAATGTTTTTCAAATTTAGTTTGCATAAATTGTGTGATGTTGATGTGATCTTTGTTTCCTCAACATTTCTTTAAAATATAAAAACAAGTTGACCATTTCATAGGTCATCATCATATTTTTGATATAGGCACAAATTAATGTCAGTAGAGGCAAAGAAAGCAGAGATTTGGTCAGAAATGGAGAAATATACATGTTTGTATATATAATTTGTATATCTGAGTTTGGCGCACCACTGTAAAAATAAAAAATAAAAGGCTTTAGCTACTAGAATAGATGTAGGGGGAGGGACAATTGGACCAACTTTAAAGTATCTGGAGTTATGCTTTTTTTGTTTGGTTTCTATGCTACATTTTGTTGTAGCTTAAGTTTATATCAGATTTTATCAGATCTTGATGCGTCATTTTGTTTATTTCTGTTAATATGACTGATCAGGCTTTTTCATTTGGTACCACTGTGGTCCTAAAATACAAAAAAGCAACAACAATAAAACAACCAAACAAAAAAGAAATTAACTCTTGTGCTTTCAAACTTCTCCATCCTCTCCTTTTAGTTTGGGAATAGTTAATCCTTAGGATGCTGGTACTGGACCCATCCATACTAATATTGCATGAGAATGTCAGTTGCTTCGTAACTGCCATACTAATGCAACATGCATCCACACCCATTACTCAAATGTTCTTCATATTGATCAAAAAATGACTTTGATCATGCTTTGTTTGTTTGTTGTTTTTGTTTTATTCTATTAAAGCGGCCATAGCAGTCTGAGGTCTGTGTATCCAAAGGGCCTCCTCGATTCAAACCCACCTTACAGAACCAGTTTATTACAGCTCTTATCCAACAGATTCAATCATTTTTTTATCACACTTTTATACATTATTGGGATAATTGGTTCCTGTATTCAGTACTTGTGATTCACTGATATTTTTGGCTACTTCATTTGGCAAAATAAATAATTTTTCACTTGATAAAATGAAGGAAAGCGAGAGGTACAGAGACAAAGAAGGTTTTTGATCAAAAGGGTACTGAATTGTTTTTGTTAGCATGGCAAGGGAAGTGTTATGGTACGGGATGTTTGGCTGAAGAGAGCTAGACATAGATAATGGGGAGAACACAGTGAATTAACTTGGTTAAGATGTGATGGCATCCCAGTCTGAATTATTCCCACCAGCTGAAGCTCTGTGAGGATTATATGAACCTGCATGCTGTTTTCAGTCTTCTTTCCAGACAGTAAATTATTCATACCCTGGCCTTTTTGTGCTGTATGCTCCTTTAATACGCAGTTTCTGAACTGTATTTTTATCCTCCCTCCGCTCTCCGTCTTCTACAATAACCCACTTTCACACGGGGATGATTAAAGAGTAATCTCATCACATCTTTAAAGCTGTCATAGTTAAGTCATCTTAAAGAAGCAGAAGAAAAGAGGGTGAACTTGGATGAACTTCATATGCAGACTTCAGCTCTTATCCTGTCTGTCATCCTCCAGTCTCTGCAGAACAAAAGCTACAACCACTTTGCTGCTATTTACTACCTGCTGGTGGAGCGGCTCAAGGCGCATCGCTGCAGCTTCCCCGTTGAACAGCGGCTGGACGCCCGTCAGCGGCGGCCCAGCACCATCGCTGAACAAACCGTCATCAAGGTAACAGCTGAACTGAATAATGCGCACTGATTAGTATCTATGCCTCTCTGATCAAAGCTGTGTTATTCACACCTGCACCCTGGAACAAATGGACAGAGACGGCCCAATGGTTTATTTATCCACCTCTTCTGTGCTCTCTCTCTTGTTCTTTCTCTGCCAGCCTTGATCTTAATGTGTTACCCTCAATTTGATTATTCACTCCTCACATCCTAGGGAAGATTGTCTTTAATTTGCATCACTGTTAAAGATCCTTTTAAGATTCAATCTACTGCAAAGGTTTTCTATGTTAACCCTTTGCTTTTAGTTTTTTAAGTTGCATATGGAGCTACTGGGGAGAATGACTGCATGTTTAATGGTATCTGCTTTGAAATATCTGGTCTTATACAACATTGTAATGGCTTTCTTCACTTTACTGTTTAAACATTTACAAGAGGATTAATGAATATTCTTTTATTTACATATTGCTTAAGCCCCCCCCCCATTTACAGTTTGTCTACCATAAAATTTATCAGATCATTTTCCACTGCTCTCAGAACCTGTAAAAAATTTCTACTTAAAAATTTTTCTGTTGTATCACAAGATAGTAAAGTTCATTTTAAGTTTTTTTTTATGCGTTATAAGGTCATCTGTGCATAGAAATCACTAATGAAGCTTTTTCTGTCCAATGTCGTGTTCCAATTTTCTTTGTGGATTGTTTAATGAAGACCAGGAAAAATGTGCTGCAGGTTAAGGTCGTAGTTTTAAATCATCTAGAAAATGCACACAAAAGTGGTAAAAATAAAAAAAAATAAGGAGGTGCTGATAATTTTAGGATGGCATTTATGGCTGAACATTTTTTTCCTGTAATGTGTGTTTTTTTGTTTTCTCTAAATTCCCCCATTTTTGCCATTGAAGTTTACCTTTTTGCTCTTAATACTTTCTGTTTCCCAGTATTTCCTGTAAAGTTATTATTTTTTTTTTTTTTAACACTTGTCTTTGTATTTTTTCACTTCAGTCGACCAGCGGTTCATCACAGGTGGGCTTGCCCCTGCAGGGTGTACGTTTGTTGCGTCCGCCCGCCATTCCCCAACCCAGTTCCGACGCTTGCACCTTTGTCCAGACCCCATCTCCCCTGGAGCAGAATTTCATGGTAGAAGATATCAGCACGCCCAAAGTAGGTCCAAGGAAATAAGTGTGTTGTCTCTCTACCTAATTCACCCTTTTTTTTTTAGGTTTTAGTTGTAGCAGTCGTTTTCAGCCTGTGACTTCCTTTGCTAACTGTTTTAGCTCTGGCTGAATTAGAGGTGCTTTGTGGTTGTGCGTTTGAGCACCAGACTCCTTTGAGGTTTGGAGCGTCGACCTGCCTGAGCGCAGCTGACATGTCCTCTTATGTAAGCACTCAGCCGGCATTCCCATCGAACAGGACAGCAGCCTGTCCTGCACCCCCCCAACAGACACGGAGCGCTCTCCTTTCCGTCAATGCCAACAAGTGACCTTTACCACCAGGCCTCATGTTCCTCTGACCTCTTATTACAGAACATGGATACTGTTCGTCTGTTTCACACTCCTCCAGGCGTGCACCAAGCACTCAGTCGAGGCTATCTTCTCCATCTCGCCCCCCAGTCCTTTTTTAGCCTCAATAAAAAAGGACTGATTTGTGGTTCTGTCAATGTTTGTGTGTGAGTAAGGGGGCATCTTATCTGAGTGAATGGAGTCTGGTTATGTAAGCGGTCCTGTGGTGATGATGTGACCTAATGTGGAGCAGAGTGAACACACACGGACAGGATGCTGCTGCGCTACCCTCTGCTATCTTCCCGCCACCCAGTCTTTCTGCCCCTGAGCGGATTAATCTTTTTTCTTTTTTTTTTTTTTTGTCTCTGCATTAGGCGATCTTCATTCTCCTGTTTCTTTTTTTTAACTCCCCATCTCTCTTTCATTCAGTTCATTCAGTCTCTGCTCCTATCAATCGTTTCACCTCTGTATCCCCCTATGACTGAACTCTTTCTTTCTTGGATCTTGATGTGTTTTTTTTTTTTTCTTTTATTCAGTGCATGTCTGTTGGATAACCGCATTCCTATCTCAGCACACTGAAGAGAGCAGATGTGGAAATGGGCAGAGCTGCTCTGTAGATCAACACCAGGCTTTCTTGATGCTGCAGCAGTGCAAACAGATGATCTGTATGAGCGGCTGCATGCATCTAAATCATCTTCCCACATTACAACCACAAAACTCAATATATTTTATTGGTGTTTTATCTGATTTATCCACTTAGCATGAACATTTTATCTGATTGATCCACTTAGCATGAAAATTACATTTAGAGTGGAAGGAAAAGGGATCCATGATTTTCAAACCCAGACCTGAAAAGATCTGCGTAGCTTATTTCAATGCATCATATGACAATAAAAAACTCATGGTACATGGTTGCCATCCTATTCTGACCGGCTTGGTATGGAGAGCTTAAACCTACTGAGATCCACGACTCATGTGAAAGGAACTGTTTAAAAAAAAAAACTAGCAAGAAGAAAGACTGTCCTATGAGCTCCTGCATGCCGTTAGCTATGAGCCATAGAGAGGATAGAGTAGTAATGTGGCAGAAGAGGGCTTGATTGAATGTTTTGACTTGTGTAGAAATTGCTATTTGTGGCAGAAAGCTAATGGTCAGCTGAGCAGACCAACCCTCAAATGAGACCTCAGAGAAGGTAGACACTGTAATTGTGATGATGAACCTGTGATGATATGAAAAAGGTCAGGAGGTGTAAACGGTCCTCGTCTTATTTTGTTCCCAGTTTGGAGCTTTTATATCCTGTCCTACTGTTTTAGATGTGTAGCCTGTTGCTCACTCTCTCTCTCCATCTCTATCTCAGGTGAACGGCTGCCTCTTAGACCCCCTCCCTCCCACCACTGTCCTCCGCAAGTCCTCTACCTCGTCACCCAGCAACATGATGGAGACATCGATTGATGAGGGTATTGAGACTGAAGAGCCGGATGCAGAGGATGATCCCGCCCACTTGCTTTCAGCCTATCAGACAGCTCGATTTGGCCAACGGCGGCACACCCTATCTGAGGTCACCAACCAGCCAGGACCTTCTAATCAAGGTTTGGTTGTTGCCTCTGCTTAAGGGTGTAACTGTCCATCAGGGTCTCTGATCTCACTAGAAAGCCTCTTTGCAGGTAAATTTTTCGCTCTGGGACACAATCCATCTATGGGAAGCGTTGACTCAGACATCGGCTACGACATGGGGTCTGTGCATAGTGACCTCGGCCTGCTGGAAGACTCTCCCTCGCTCGGCGAGGTGATGCCAGCCAGCAGCCCTGCAACTTTCATGATGGCCAGGCCTCCGAACCCAACAATGGCTGCACTGACATCACAGCACAGGGAGACGCACAACCGCTCCCCAATCAGCTTCAGAGAAGGACGCCGCGCATCCGATACCTCCCTCACACAAGGTCAGAGATAACTAGTACTAGTTTTAGTTTTTTTTTATTCATAAACCCTTAAAGTGTAAAATAATTTGTTCTTTTAAGGGTTAATTTTCTTCTGCAGATACACTATATTGCCAAAAGTATTTGCTCACCTGCCTTGACTCACATATGAGCTTAAGTGACATCCCGTTCCTAATCCATAGGGTTCAATATGACGTCGGTCCACCCTTTGCAGCTAGAACAGCTTCAACTCTTCTGGGAAGGCTGTCCACAAGGTTTAGGAGTGTGTTTATGGGAATTTTTGACCATTCTTCCAGAAGCGCATTTGTGAGGTTGCACACTGATGTTGGACGAGAAGGCCTGGCTCTCAGTCTCCGCTCTAATTCATCCCAAAGGTGTTCTATCGGGTTGAGGTCAGGACTCTGTGCAGGCCAGTCAAGTTCATCCACACCAGACTCTGTCATCCATGTCTTTATGGACCTTGCTTTGTGCACTGGTGCACAGTCATGTTGGAAGAGGAAGGGGCCAGCTCCAAACTGTTCCCACAAAGTTGGGAGCATGGAATTGTCCAAAATGTCTTGGGATGCTGAAGCATTCAGAGTTCCTTTCACTGGAACTAAGGGGCCAAGCCCAGCTCCTGAAAAACAACCCCACACCATAATCCCCCCTCCAACAAACTTTACACTTGGCACAATGCAGTCAGACAAGTACCGTTCTCCTGGCAACCGCCAAACCCAGACCCGTCCATCAGATTGCCAGATGGAGAAGCGCGATTCGTCACTCCAGAGAACGCGTCTCCACTGCTCTAGAGTCCAGTGGCGGCGTGCTTTACACCACCGCATCCGACGCTTTGCATTGCACTTGGTGATGTATGGCTTGGATGCAGCTGCTCGACCATGGAAACCCATTCCATGAAGCTCTCTGCGCACTGTTCTTGAGCTAATCTGAAGGCCACATGAAGTTTGGAGGTCTGTAGTGACTGACTCTGCAGAAAGTTGGCGACCTCTTCGCACTATGCGCGTCAGCATCCGCTGACCCCGCTCCGTCAGTTTACGTGGCCTACCACTTCGTGGCTGAGTTGCTGTCGTTCCCAAACACTTCCATTTTCTTATAATACAGCTGACAGTTGACTGTGGAATATTTAGGAGCGAGGAAATTTCACGACTGGATTTGTTGCACAGGTGGCATCCTATCACAGTTCCACGCTGGAATTCACTGAGCTCCTGAGAGCGACCCATTCTTTCACAAATGTTTGTAAAAACAGTCTGCATGCCTAGGTGCTTGAATTTATACACCTGTGGCCATGGAAGTGATTGGAACACCTGATTCCAATAATTTGGATGGGTGAGCAAATACTTTTGGCAATATAGTGTAGATACTGACTGCTCTTAACTGTTCAGCAGAACCAGACTTAGTTTGAGCTGTCGCTTTAGTTCCAGATTTTGAAGTCAGAAAGCTTTGTGCAGCTAAACTATTCAGTTCTTTTGTCTCATATCTATGCAGAACATTCTTAGCAGTTTTACAAACTCAGTTCAATAGAGAAATGCCTGTATAATTGCATTGTCCCAAAGGCATAGAGCAAAATGTCAGCTGAGTATTTTTTTCTTCTTTTTTTTTTAGATTAACCTGATATTTTATTGGAGGTTTTTTTCCTCTTTCTCCAAAATAAAACAGTATAAATGCACCTTTAGTGTGCATGGTGTTAATGAAATAGGAATGGAGGGTCTTTCAGACTTAAAAGCAACAATTAAAGCTGTTCAAACATGATATATAACAAGATATTTTAACACCTGCTTATGGTCTCTGTAGTCCTTCTGTATCGTTGCATTCAGGTTCCCGCCAATACAAAAGATTTGTATTGGCGGGAACCTGACAAAAGGGTCACTGAAGCTACGTGAAGTGAAACTGTGAGCCAAGTTTGAGGCTTTAAGCCTCAACTTGCACATGGAGGAACTTTGATCCTGGTGAAGGCGCTCCTACAGCTGCTACTTTACCCTTTAACACACTCAGAAACACGTTTCAAAGATGATGTTCATGTATGTGTTTATGTGTACAGTCTCAGTGCTGTTCCCCTCCTCTTTCACACGCCTTTTTTTTCCTCTCCTGCTTGTTTTTCTCGTCTCTCATCCACTCCGTTTCTCTGACGACGACAACGGTGATGATTCACAAGGTGAATCAGACACAGGTTTCAGCCCACATATTTCTCTCGCTCTCTCTCCCTCCTTCCTGTCCCTAGCACGCCCCTCACCTTTCTTCACCATTATTCCCTCTTTCACTTTTTATTCCAGACACTTCAGTCACTGGATTGCTTTTTTTTTCTGCACATTAGAGGGAAACAGGAGGTAAAATATAAGGAGGGGGTTGTTAAACATCTGTGCTCCATAGTTGCATTTATCTGTTTATTAGCTTAATTATTTGCCTTCTGGTTGGTAACCACTTGCATTAAGGCCAAGTGGAGCGGATTGCTAAGTTAAAAATATGCATCTTCCCTGGCTTCATTCTGACGGGCTGCGCTGTGCTCTGCTAGCTGGTATTTGCAGTTATTAATTTATTTTCCATAATCTTCTTTGGAGGGTGTTGATGCTCCGGATTATTTTGCGTCAGAACGCTGACTCCAGTTTTTAAATAACTCCCACCACCTCAGTGAGTCAGGTCCTGTCGTTCTCAGCCGTGGCTCGTCACAACTGGATGGATCTTATTAGGGCTGTTTGCTCTTTAACAAACACACACACACACACAGTTGCAGCTATACTGTCTCATATATGCACACACACACGGCTGACGTGCATTCAACAGCGGTGTCAGTAGGGGCAACGGAAAGCCTTAGCAGACTGACGTCAGAGAGGATTAAGCTTGTTTCTCCAAAAGGATGGAGCCACAGATGGAGATTCAGTTAAGTTCGCAGAAATTACAGCTCAAAATTTGACTTGGACTGAAGCTTTTAGACTAGAGTCTCCTAAATCCTTTTTTTTTATATGATCTGTCGTGAAAATAATCCATCTTTGAATTTTCTGACCAATTGAACTGAAACTTGTAGTTTAATTACAGCATGTATTTCTCTCCAAACTTTCAGAACACAATAAGCTTAATCTAAGCCTACATCTTAGTCTCTTGCTCTTAGGCTTCCTTTATCACAAGCAAAGAAACTTCCAGGCTTTCAAAATAAAAGCACCTCTAGTTTTTGTCCATATAGAAAAATACCATCCTCTTTCTCATTCTCACAACAGGCATGCCTCTGTTAAATAGAACATATTCAAACTGTGTCATTATTTCTATTCATATATAGAATTATTATTTACATAATTATTTATTTCAACTCTTGTTGTTATGATTGATTTTGGCTTACAGCTAACAAAGCTTATTACATGAGAGATACAAAGTGTTCTATTTCTCTGTAGAAGCGCTGCATTACGCTGCTGTTTATATTTACAGCAGTCTCTAGTAGAGAGCTCCCACAAGGAGAAAAAATCATAAAATTGCACTATTTGTTTTAGTTTTGTGTCCTTCATGGCAAAGGGAAATTGAGTGGAAGCTAAAGCTGTGGTGGAACAATGCCTCAGTCAGCAGAGCCCAAACCAAGGACTACATCCATACACTTTAGATTCACTCTGTGGTTAAAAAAAAAAATTGTACCAAATTTGAGGTTTAACCAGAATCCTTTGATTTAATAGAAACCAATAGTTGTCTACTTATAAATTGTTTTTTCTAAGTTTTATTGATTAAATATAATTTATCTAAAGTGATTTAAAGAATTAAAAATTCAGTGTCGACCATCGCCTCTGGTTTTTAAAAATAAAGGCTTCCACTCGATTTGCTTAAAGATCAGGATTCCCATGAATTCAGCTATTTTTAGTGTTTTCTACAAACATGGCTGCATGTTTCGATCTCAAAAGGTCTTGCATGTTTACACTTTTTCATAAATTACTGCATTTTATTTTGTTTGTTTTTTTGTTTTTTTTTCTTGCAATGTAAAGTTAAAAGGGATTATTAGAATGTTACATGATTTGTTTTCCTCAACCTACAGCTGTGTGGTCATAGGTGGAGTTTTTTATATATATATATAATTTTTTTTTTTTAATTTATTTATTTATATCAATCCCTTTTGGTTCCTGCTCTCAGGTCTGGTGGCGTTCCGGCAGCACCTCCAAAACCTGGCGAGGACCAAAGGCATCTTGGAGCTAAATAAGGTCCAGATGCCTGTGGGGCCGATGGACTCCGGGGATGGGGGTGTCACTGGCCTCCTGGGACCACAGCATTATTTGCACAACCTGCTGGAGGTAAGTTTTCTCCCCACTCCAAAGTCTTTATTTACCTCATAATCAGCGCTCAGATTCATTCCCTGCTTCACTCCAGATTTAACATCTAACAGAAAGGATAAAAAAAAAAAGCAGTAATAATCGAACACAAGTCGCCGGGCTGTTGTGTAACCCCAGGAGAGGCAGCCAACTCTGACTTGTTTACTGTCTCCCGTCCCCCTGGAGTTCCGAGCCTCGGCCAAAATGAATGCAGCCATTGTTGAAATCATTTGGACTCACCCATAGAAATGACAAGAACTACAATCACAGAAAAAGGCACACATTTATACACACAGCGGCGCACACAACAAAACAGTAACTATTCAAGGAACGAATTGTTGGTTTCCTGTAAACAAAACCTAAATGAGCATAAACAAGATCTTCTTGTTTTGTTTTTCGTGTTTGTTTATTTTTTTGTCCATTTTCATTATGCAATAAAGCTTCTCTTTGTTGGTTATGACCCTTGAAGCCCCATCATCCTTTTAATTAGCTTTCATTCCATTTACCTAATGTGAAATCCCTCTGGTACACGCCATTTAGGGAAAGGCATCAGGCCGATGAGTCGCCACACAGGCATCTGCGCAAGAGAAAGCAAAGATAATTAATTTAAGCTACATGAAGCGCCCAGACCCTGACACAGCTTTATTATCTGACGGGGGCGGATGAGGAGGATCTGTGATCTGAGCCTGTGAGGATTTTGTTTCCAATGCTTTATGTTTTTAATTAAAGGGTGAGGCCTGCAAGCAGCAGGAGGGCCTAGCTTTGTATCAAGGTGAAGCCCAGCCGCCTCTCCTGTCCCGCAGACAGAGTTTGGAAACACAGTACCTCACACACAGACTGCAGGTACAGTCGCCATTACTCACTCTGACCGTTTCTACAAGCTCAGACATGTTGATCACCGGCAGCCAACGACTGCTTTACTAAACCTCTGTCATTTACAAACTGAGAAAATTAACTAACACAATTGAAGAGTAGAATCACATTTTGCAAATGATCATTGTTTTCATTTTTTTTTTTGTTTTGCCCAGAGGGCCAACATCTTGGCTAACAGTCCTGCTAGCTGTCAGATTTTCTGTAAGGAGACTCCTCGCAGTTTAGAGCAGCAGCTACAGGAACACAGGTAAAACAAAAATGTCTCCCCCCTATTCCTGACTTTATGTTTCCTCCTCTTTCTTAATCCTGGTTTCCGTTAATGCAATTCATGCTGACCCTTACAAAAGGGTCAAACACTTACACAGTTTTGCAATTATTACATCACAATCACAAACTCCAGGATATTGTATGGGGATATTATGGTATGAACCAGCTTGGCAGCAAACAGGTCAGAAATAAAGATTTTATCACCTCTCAATATATCATCAAAAAACTGGAAAGCAACCACCACATGGCTCTGCAGCTAAACTGGCAACCAAGAGAAGGAAAGCATTAAATCAGAGACCTACTGGAGAAGCTGCAGAGAGGAACAGCTGTTAGTTGATCTGGCTTTTATGCAGGAGTGGCAAAAGTAAGATGTGAGATTAGACAGTCTGAAAGTATAGAGAACAGTGAAGATGTAGATGAAGGTTTTCTGGTCAGTCGAGACCAAGATATAATTTTTTTTGTCTAAATGTAAAATGAAATGCGTGATGTGTAACCAACTCTGCACATCACCCTGAAGACAACAGTCATAGTCAAACACGGTGGTGGAAGCATCGTACTGTGAGCAGAGTGGGGCAGGGTGAAGATCAGTACTGGGTTAAACTGTTGAAGAGTGGCCTAGTCAAAGTTCAGACTTGATCTAAGAGAAAATCTAATTTAAGACCTTTAAATCAACTGTAGGTATTTTATAAAGAAGCTTTTCCTGCAGTAAAGGAGGCGGCTCTAGTTGACCAGCCTGATTCTATGCTTTGTTCAGCATCATCCATGTTACATTGCTGATTTCATGCCAAGCATGTTTTTGTTTGCCTTTCATGTGACTCTAATCTGCAGGGCAGCTTTAAGCAAAGTGGGATGTTTCAGTTCCACAAACGCTAAACACATTATTATAAACCTTTCCCTTTGTAGGGTGACGTCTCTGACCACGGAGCTATATCGTTCTCCCTACCCTTTTGCATTAGATACGTTTTCTTTTCTGGGAAAACTGACACACATGCAACAGTTCAGCAAGAGACCGCTTGCAAATCTAGATGAGAGTTAGAATATGGCTTTTGGGTAACATTTTCCTACGTTGCCTGATTGTTTATTATTCAAAGTGTTTAATTGTTGTTAATTCAAAGCATCTATAAACCTTTCAGACTGAACCAGAAGAGGATGTACCTGCAGCAGCAGTCCCAGGGCATGGGGCTGCAGACCTATTTCAACCAGATGCAGATAGCTGAAGGCTCCTACCCACCTGTCGGCCCTGCTCTGGACCCTGCGTCCCCTCAGGGTCCCCTTCAGGGCCCCCCCATGTCGGCTGGCGGCCAGCCTCAGCCTCAACAGCAAGGCAGCCCTCAGTCCTCCTCCCCCTTCGGCCACACCCTCAGCCTGAGCCCCCTAATGGAGCCAGGCGAGGGCGTGGTTTACGACCCCTACATGAGCCATCACCACTACACCCAACATCTGCCTCATGGAGCCCACCTCCACCACCAGCTCCACCACCAGCAGTCTCATGATTCTTCCAGTAGTTGCCTGGGCTTCAGTTTCCCTGCAGGCTGCGAGCAGCAGGCCCTTGGCCCCTCCCCTGATGCTCTTCCACCAGACCAGTACGAGTTCTCCATGAACCCTGCCTTGCTGCCACCACCTTCCCCAGGAGAGGCGGAGGCCACAGCGATGCCTGGGGCTCTGGCTGGATCAGCCCAGTCGGAAAACCTGGGAATGAACGAGCTGCCTGGTTCTCTGCTGGACAGCGAGATGATGGAGACTGTGGACTCGCAGCAGGGCTTCGTAATGGTCAACTGATCCATGCCAAGGAGGTTATTAGAGAGCAGTGTTAAAACGGCGACACAGAATTAAGAACAGGGAGAACGGACATGTAAGTGGAGGTCTGAAGTGTAGCAGCAGGGAAGGATGTGTTCATTTTTGTGCAACTAATAGAAACTTCATTTCTTAGTTGTAAGAAGCCTCAAGATTTGTACCAAAATCCTCCCTCATCCTGCCTCCCTTTCTCCCTCTACTCCCCTGTTCTTGTCTTCAACCGCTCCGCAAGGCAGGAGGAGGCCCGTCGCCGTGCCGACGCGGTGAGGCTGCTGTCGCCACGTGCGCCCAGCCGTTTTAAGAGACTGGCGGAGAGTTTGCTGCACATCCTCATTTCATCTAGAAATAGCTTGAAAGCGAACTAATTTAGGGACATGAAACTGAACGGCAACCAAAAGCACAAAGGCTGGTCGTCAAAAATAAGACTGGTTCTGAAAAAGACTTCTGTGGATTTATATTGGGTTCGTTTTGAGAGGATGGAGGGAAAAAAAAGTGAGCAGGAGAAGATGGCCCTCATTTATCACGGTACCATGAATATCGACATGAATTCAGGCAATTCAAGCTTGTTTTTTTCTTGTTTTTTTTTGTGCATTTCTGTCATAATGCTCATAAACAGGTTTCAACACTATCACTGATAAACTAACAGGTATTAAATACCCTCAACCGTTAAGGACACTTATTTATTTTTTGTGACGTTTGATTCATAAATTGTAACTACTGATCTCGAGCTATTTTCAACACTACTGATTGCTGTCCCAAATTCAACCGTTACCATGGTTACCAGTTCAGCTGAAGTGTGGGTCATGCCTTCGCCTGGTAAATGAGGGCTGATTAAACGCCTAAAGTTGAGGGTTAGAGTTCAACATGTGTCTCTGTTTCTGTGGCAATACTGAAGCAATATTAATCCTGAATGTTGTGGGGGGGGTGGTGTAGTGAATGGAAGCCTCTGATTGGTCCGCTGTGGGCTTCGGGAGTTGACGTAGACGGAGCAGATGACGTAAGCAGGAGATAATCTCACTGTTGTTCGCTCTAGAGATGTTGCTTGGTGGAAAAGTGCGTGGAAAAGTTGGACGTTTGTCCAGTTGTCCACATCTTCCTGAAAGACACAGGAAGTGGTGTCTTTGCCCTGAAAGCATCACAGGTTGTCTTTTTAAGGTACTCGGCTGATGGGGAGTTTTAGGTGGATAAAAAATAGCGTTTTGCACAGTGTTTGTTTTTTAGATTATTTCTGGTTTACTTCCTCTGCTCCAAGATTCTCCTGAGTGAAGATTCCCGTCTGAAGCCCAGCATCCTTCAGCCGGCAGGGAATCTGTTTTCTCACATCTCTTTCCGGTTGTTTTCTGTTTTTTTTTTTTTTTGTTTTTTTTTCCTTTAACGACACTTAGACTCGATCTACTAGATATAACTCTGACAGATGATGGGTCAGAATGACAGCAGTTGAGCTAAGATTACTGAACTGCGACCATCTGCCAGACTGCGTGGCCTGCAGTGGTTTGTGGTTAAACTGTAGGAAGGTTTGGTGTCGCATCCAGCAGCAGACCAACGTTTGTTCGACCCAAAGTGGAAACTGACAGTTGAACCATCTGTGGTGACAGAAACAAGAGGTAATTGTAGGAGAGTTTAAAGGTAAATCAATCCAAAATTGATCTGTTATGCTCATTTGTAACATTCCAGAGGTTATTTTAATTGTTCCCTTTTGTCTTTTTTAGACCAACAACTTCCATGGATTTTATTAGGATTTATTGCGATCCACCTAAAAAAGTAGCAGATAATCTTGTAGTGAAAGGATTGTTATGTAAAATTCTCAAACATATTAATACATTTTCTTATTTCATCGTAGCTCTGACTAGATTGTTAAAGTCCATATTGGGGCCTGTGTGTAGCTCCGCCCCTTTTCCCATATACTCCAACCATATCTCTGCTGAACAATATTTCCATACCATGAGGCTGCCACCACTGAAATTTAACTTAAGTTTTTGGGGGTTTCTTTCAAATCTGGATAAGTATGAAAAAATGTTGGATTTTCAAGCTTAATAAAAAACATTTCAGGAAGACAAAGGACTATTCTGATGGCTTTCCGAACATCCAATCTATGAGTAGAAATGGATGTGCTTTGTTTAAAAAAAATTTTTTGTTTGTTTTTTTTTTTAGAGGGAGTTCTGTTAGAATCTTTGGTTCATAAACTTTGTCCAATTTGAATTATTAAAGAAATCCTTACAAAAAACGTATACTCATGTTTTCACAGATAAAGGAAAAAAAGACTCTCCTTAAGCTGCAATCTGGTACGATTATAGACGCGCTTTATGTAGTAAAGCATAAGCCAATCCAGGGCAGAGATGGCTATAGATTAATATACGGAGCAGATATTAGTGTGGTTAGATCATAAACCAACTTTTTATAGAAAACACTTTTCGAAATGATAAAGATTTTTTGTACTCCTATTTTGAGAATGTTTTGGAAACTGCTGGAAAAATCCAAAAACTTAAAAATGTGGACGGTCTTTTTTTTTTTTTGATTCAATCTGATCAGGGATCCTTCAAAATGTTAGCTGTTCCCACTTAAATGTCTTATTGACATTTTTCAGATATTCTTTTCCATCCCATCTGGGAAAATAGTATAAAGTACTGTAGTAATCACCAAGGAACCCCCTTCCTCACTGTAACTTTAGGTGGTGGCACCATCATGCTGTGGGGTTGCTTTTCTTCAGCGGGGACTCTAACTCTATAACACTATAAGCCCTTTTGTTAGGTTGACTTAACAGTAACACTTTTGAGGTATTTGGTCGCTAGTTGCTAATGCTTCCAAAAGCCTCAGTTGACCAGAATGCATTGCAGGCCCGTGGTCGTATCAACAGTTCCTTCTAAACTCAGCCTGTTTGGGATCATTCAGCCATAGTTTGTTTCAGAGAATAAGCTCTTGGGCAACTTGTGGGTTTAAATAGGAGTGAAGTGAAATTTATGAGGCTTTTTTTAGGGAGCACTGGGGGGGGGGGGGGGGGGGGGGGGCTACAGACTGATCTTCGAAGGTTGAGTACTAGAGCACTTTGATGACGACGAGGAAGAAGAGGTGTAGCGAGGGAGGAGAAAAAGGTGGGAAAGATTTGCGGCTTCCTGGCAGATGAAACGGACCACAATCAGGAGGAAACACCTTTCTCCTCTCTCTTCCCCAACAGTAATGGACAAAAATAAAACAACAAATTTTCTTTCAAAGAAAGACCAGACTGAGTGTGACGCTCCGTCGATCTGAATCTGAGAAAAAAACACTTTTCATTTTATAATGATGAGTGTTCTTGGTGGCTGTTGTGATCCTCGCCCAGAGGAGTTGTTGAATAGTGTTCAGTGTGCCTTTTTACTTCTTTTCAATCTCAGTTCCATTGACTTTTTCTGGTTTGACTCTTATTTCGTTTACTTTATTACGATTACTTCCTCTCTGTTTTTATGATTGTATTTTTTTTCCTGAAAGTTAGTAGAGCCAGGTTTTCCTAAGGTACCAAAGTCCTTGAGAAGTTTCCCTGTACGACCCACCGTGTGGAGTTTTGGAGCTTCTTTATTATTTTTCTCTACTGTTGTTTTTTTTTCTCCTAGCTGGTCGATCTGTGTATGCCATTTTAAAGTATTATAGCAATATCTCTGTAGTTGAGGACTAAAGTCATGAAGATTCTAGTGGATGTGTTTCCAGGTATCATAATTTCACCTCCTGCTGATTAAAAACAAACAGGAAAAAAGAGTCAATCAATAGAAATCCAGTTTTATATTTACCTTCATTGATGTTGACCACACATAAGCTAACTTGCTATTGAGATTAAAAAGGTTTATTGAACGGAATCATGGGTTTTGTGTTTGTTAATTAGATGGATCAAAGGAGTGTTTTGCAGATCTGGGGATCCATCCATCTACTCCTCTCATTGATTTATTTCTCCATTCTTTAACACTCCATCCCTTTCCCATTTCTTAATCTTTGTTTTTTAATCGTCCTTCTATCCTCTTATCCATACAGCTGTCTGTTGATTTCAGTTTGTTCAATTCAAAAGTCCACTTCTCCATAAATAAAGCTTTTTATTCCATCTATTAATCCTTTCATATCACTAACCCTGTCTTCCTCACAGCGATTTTAAGTGACTGCAGTATAGAAATCAGCAGAGATGTATGTAGAATGTGCAGGAACCTTATCGTGACCTCATCCAGTAGTCCTATACCTTCAGTCTCTGGCTGCAGCGGTGTAAACGGGAATGTGTCACCTGGAAGATGCAGTTATAAACTGTGGAAAACCTGGAATCGTGCAGCAACATTTTGCCCAAGGTGAGGGACGGTCCCGAAGCTCCTACCAACACCTTCTATAACAACCAACTGACTTAAAATCCCTTTAAATTAAAGCTTATGCTGTAAATGTCTAAGCATCACAGTCCAAAATCAAACTGCTGTAAAGTCAAAGATGTTGTGGAGGATGTTCTTTCTCATCAAAATAAGTGGTCCTCCTAATTTTCAATCAATCCAGTGATATGAATAGGTAAGGCTGTCCTATGTGCTCGTCCCCATTTTCACTAACATTGTGAAAAAAATTTAAACAGTCTCGCATGCTTTTAATAAGCGTTCCTTCTCAGGAGCGTGCACAGAGGTTGGACATTATGCTTTTTTTTTTTCCAATTGGAGAGAGCGGTCTTTTAAAAAAAAATTGTGACAATCCTCCACTATACCTTTAAGGTCCTAACAGCTGCTTTCAATACCCGATGACTCACTTTAATCCCTCTTTTTCATGCCTTGTTGGTGTTTATTGAGTTCCTCATATTTCAGATGAACCTAAACCTGCTGCCTGGTTATTTACAGTAACCAGGCCTGTTTATATAATGCGACACCTGCAATGATCAGTTCGGATCTGCTTCAGTCCTGCATGTCCTCAAATGAATATTTAAGCAAACTCTCCATGACTGACATGCAGCAGTAGTCATGGACTTTGGGGGGTTAGTGGCCATGCTTTTCCTACATAAT